CCTTCTTCTTTTTTTAGGAGTTGAAAAATGGTGGGGGTGTTACTGGTACATCTGTCCCCCGCATTCCAATTCAGTTTGCCAAGAACAAACAAAAAGGTAATTAATATGGTTGATTGCAAAGTATTCTATGTTATTGATGGTTGATATCACACGTAGGGGTTTAGGGCTCAAAAATTGAGTAGGGATGGAAAAGAGTTGTGGTGGTCAGAGGGGACAAGGAAACTGAGCAGCGCAAGGAGGGAAGAGGGAATTTTTATCTAGAATATTTGGGATTCTTTTGTGACTGTTTGCTTTATACCGGTATATAAATTTAATTTTTTAAGGGGCCCATGTTCTTTTTAATTTTTTTTAATGCAGTCCTTGTTAATGCACCTTTTGTCCCATTTAAACTTATTTTACGAAATCCAAATGTCGGGACCATTGTTTAAGTGAAGTTCTGCATATAGCACTTTCAAAATCTAGGATATGAAAGCCCAATTCATAAGCTTTCTTTTAGCACAAGAATCATTCAAATCACTCATGTACTTTTCAGGTTACGGAGTTTTAAACACAACTGCCATTTTAAGGGTCTGTCCACGGATCAAAAAAGTTCAGTGTTCTTTCAGCAAAGCGAAAACAAATCACAAAAGGATGTGTGTGAGTTGGTTTCGTTTTGCTGAAAGAACGCACACCTGTTTTGTGATCCGTGGACAGAACTTTAAAATGGTGGTTGTGTTTAAAATTCCGTAACTTGAAAAGTACATTCTGATTTGAAGGATTCTTGTACTAAAAGAAAGCTTTTGATTTGAGCTTTCATATCCTAGATTTGGAAAGTGCTACATGCAGAACTTCACTAAAACAACAGTCCCGACATTTGGGTTTCGTTTTTTTGGACTCACCCTGTATATCTGTCAGTTCTTAAAAAAACACCTTGTTTGATTTCAGAAAAAAAAATTGAATTGTTTTTCAGAGATGCTGCTTTCAACGCCAGCAGCATCGCACACATGTTTCGGAATAATCCAGCCCTGCCAAGACTAACTGCCCGAGTGCGTTCCATATGGAAAGATAGAGTGATGTATTACTATTAAAGACCCCCTACAAAAAAAAAGAAAATATGCATATTGCACGCAGCATGGGGAAGAAATATAAATATAGAAGAAAAATATTAATGATCTTTAGGGTTTAAAAGTCTGACATTTCAACAACAAAAATTATATAGATCTGTCAAGGGCTCTGTTAGACGTTGCGTGCACATAGCAAAGCAGTTTAATCGGATGTAGGGATGTTATTGTAATTTGCACACGTGTGAGCTTGTACATGTATTATGTACCGAGTACATGCAATTTGGGCAGCAATCTTCAATTTGTTGTCTGATGTCTGCAATATGTAAACCATATGTGACGACTAAACTTGGTCGTAAATGACAAAACATTCAGTACATGTACATGTATGTCGTGTGGGGAATTCCACTTTGCAATGTACATTTGTGCTGCATGTACATGTAAATGTCACTTGTGTGAGTAATTTTGACAAAGTGACTTCTACCGGTACATGGTACAGTGTACTGCTACATTGCAACTAACGTGTACAAACTACTTATTGAAAGCAATCTGAAATGTAATTGTAATTTTAATTTTTTTTTTTAACTAAATTACCAAAACACCAGAGTGCGAACATGTGTGTAGTGTCAACGCTTGCGCGCACCCATTCACGGCTTCGCCGAATTAAAAACGACTACATTGTACAAACTGACATTTCCAAAAAATGCGCCTTTAGACACATGTTCGGAAATGAACTTCTTTTGTTGTTTTCTTTAAAATGACAGCATACCAGAAAGAATAATTTCACAGGGAGTTTAGTGCCATTACTAACTTTAACCAGGTATGCTTTTCAACAATAATTTAGTCAGATACTTTTTGGAAAGCTGCAAATGATGTACTCTACCGGTACCTTTAACATCCGAGTGAAATTTAGAATTGGTATTGTGGGGTTTCCAGTTTACAAGGTAATTTATTTTAAAAGGAGTTGATTTCTACATGCAGATGCTCATACGGTATGTTACTTGTACATGTTCTGGCTGGTCATTTTGTAAAATTTTTCTTGAGTCAATTTCCGGTTTCCGACACTGTACAATATCTTCTGCAAGCTATTTCTCCCTACATGAGCAGTGTGCCTGTACTGGGCCAGGCCCAGAAGGCAGGCCAGATGGTGACCCTATTTTTAGGAGGAATTATGCTGACATAAGCACGGGGTCGGACATGCTTGCCTGCTCACTCAACTTGCCAGCCGGCTGTGTGATGGTGATGATGTCTACATACATTTTGTGTATTGAACACTGTATGTGTGGCCAAGTGGTTAGGGTTTGTGGCTCATAAGGTCAAGGGTTTGAATCCAGCTGCTGGCCATATGTGTCCTTGGGCAAGCCACTTTACCCCCTCACAATTAAAAGGTGGCCACTATATACAGGTGGCCACTGTAGAAAGGTGGTCACCTAAGACAGGTGGTCACCTACATGTAGGACAGGTTGCCAATATACATGTAGACAGTTGGCCGCTACAGACAAGTGGCCACTATGGACAGTTGGCCACTATAGACCAGTGGCCACTGTAGACAGGTAGCCACTGTAGACAGGTGGCCACTGTAGACAGGTGGCCACTGTAGATAGGTGGCAACTATAGACAGGTGTTCGCTACAGACAGTGGCCACTGTAGACAGGTGACCACCGTAGACAGGTGGCCACTGTCGACAGGTGGCAACTATAGACAGGTGTTCGCTACAGACAGTGGCCACTGTAGACAGGTGACCACCGTAGACACTAGACAGGTGGCCACTGTCGACAGGTGGCAACTACAGACAGGTGGCATCTATAGACAGGTGTTCACTACCGACAGTGGCCACTGTAGACAGGTGACCACTATAGACAGTGCCCACTGTAGACAGGTGACCACTGTAGATAGGTGGCCACTGTAGACAGGTGGCCACTATAGAGAATTGGCCACTACAGACAGTTGGCGACTATAGATAAGTGGCCAATGGACAGGAGGCCACTATACACATTTGGCCATTGTAGGCATCGATAAGTGGCCAATATAGAACAGATGGCCACAATAAGCCACTGTTATACCTTCATTAGGGTATTACTATTCCCTTCAAAACTTTTTCTGAAATGAGTTTCTAAGAATACCACCCACATTGTGAATATGACAGCAGTCTACCTTTAAAACAGGATCACGACAAAAAGTACATTAACAAAACACGCATGAGTGCTATTTATGTTTTCCGCCCAAACAATTCTGAGCAACAAGACACAATATCGCTTTCCGAGATATCAATAATGTGCCTCTGAATAATTGACTAAGCAGTCGGCAACACGACTCCCCGACTCCCAAGCCATTTGTATTACAGATGGGCCGAGGCACTGTCACCGAAACTTGTGGGATTGATTTGTGTGCGAACAGGTTCAGAAGCTGCAACCTCTGTGTACAGTGCAGGTACAGTACATGTGTACACACCCCCACACACAAGGAGGGGGGGGGGAATTTCAAGATCCAAAGAGGAACCGTTCTAAATTTAGCCCCGAGATCACATTTCCTATTCTGAACCGAGTGGGCACAAAGGGCAAAGTAATGTGTCCAGCCCAACGCGTGGAATGTTAATCCATTTTCAGAAAGGGCAAGTTTGATGTGTGGATACTGACTAAAGTGCAACCAGGATCTGCGACCCCTGCACCTTTACGTCCCGGCCCCGCCCCTTTTCCAATTCAACAAAGTGACAGTCACCTCACATAACTCAAGCACGTCGGCATTTTGATGTTTTGGGGGTTGAGCCCTAAAAACAACTTTCTCCTGGTATTTAATGTCCCAAGTTTTCCATTTATCGCTCAAGTCTTTTCCGGGGTGTCTTTCAAATTCGGAACATGTTACAGGGAAGTGAACTTTGGAAAAACCAAGAAGGGTTCACTGAAACCGCCCCAAACACCTGTTTGTCGTTAAATTCAATTTGCATAGCCCCCAAGAGAGGGTCTAGTCTCCTTCTTGGGGTGCACAACTTGTAAGGGTCAGAAGTTCGAATCCACTTGTTGGGTAAATTGATCCAGTTTCAACATGTACTGGCAGGTTTTTTTTAACAAGAAATCTCCATGAATTCCTTAGCTCCAACACTGTGCATTTAATATTTAACCAATGGCAAATTTTATGAAGCAGTGAATTGAATATTTTACATAACAATATATGCCTACTGTCATCATGTTCCCATACAAATATGTATACAATTCAGATGCCGCCTATTCTGAGCGATATTTTAAGCCACTTCCATAACATCAAACCCCGCAATCTGATTTTAAAAGATTGGCAGAATATTCAAAATTCACCAGGGGGGTTTCCGTGGGGTTTCTGTTTTTAATTTGAAATTCAATCCTGTTCCCCTGCCTTGCCTTTTACACAGGCTAGTCACCAACAGTCAGATCATATTTCTTGTAGGCACTGTGACAGTCACATTCCATCAACAGACAAAAGCAGGTGACTGGCAGGCACAGCTGGCTTATCAATCTCCTACAGTCAAAGCATAGCTGTATCAGGTTTCATAACAATCACAGCCAGTCAATCCTGCTTTATGAAGGCAGGGAGCCCTCAACTGTTAAAAACAGTCACTTGATTTATTTGGACTGCTGGGCTGGTTTTGTTGCTCAAGATTGCCAGCCAGAGAGGGAGGGTTAATTAATACGCAAAATGTCAGTCTGAAATCCGAGTCTATTTTGGTCAACTTGAGATGCTCCAAATAAATTTCAGTTATTGGTGAAAACAGTCTGAAACTGGTGCTATAGACCTTTATTATGCTGCCACCATTTCAGTCATGTCCCCTGTATCCAATAACAGTACTGAATGATACTGGTTTTGTGCAAAAAAGGAACCAGACTATTTTTCCTTCCAGCCTCACTTTGGTTACGTTGATTTGAATGGGCAAAAAAATCAAGATGGCCGCAACATGATAATGGTCTATTAACAGCGATCTACTTCACGTACCTTCGTTTTCGTCTATCCTCGGACCGCTGAGCCTCTTCTTCCGGCCGTTCCCCTGCCTACTATTAGCACCATTCTCCATCTTGAGCACCGAGGGGTTGTAGCTCCCCCCGCCGCCCCCTCCACCCCCGTACAGACCCCCGCCGCCCCCTCCTCCTCCCCCGCGGGGCGAGGTCTGGGGGCTGGGGATGTAGCTGGGTGCCTTGTCCTGGTGCTGTCGGTCCCTCAGCTTCTTTTGGAGTTTCTCTCGCTGTTTGTCCGTTCTGTCGTCCCGCGACCGCGAGCGCATTGATGGTCTCTGAGGATCTGGGAGTCAAGACAAAACGGTAACAGAGTTTCATCGACTTTTCAGCAAACCTACTTTTTACTTATCAACGAGCTGCTCCCAAAAGGGGCTCAAATTGTCAAGCATTACAAACCTTGTACAAAAATGACATTCAAATTAAGGGAGATGTTGGGAAAGTGTTGATAAATGGTTAGGAAAAAAATGATTACTTTTTGGAAAAAAAATCATGAAATAAGTTGGAATTTTATATGGCTTGGCTTGCAGTTGGGTGGTTGGTTTGGGGAAGCTTTTTTTCTTTATGGATATCCGAACCCTTTTGTGTAGAAAAAAATCTCACCAATCCAATTAGCAAATTGTACTTTTCAAAAAAAAATGTGCATTCCTGACTTTCCAAACCTATTACCGAGAGCTGGAATGGGTAACTATTTCCACTTCTTATTCAAACAGAAGAGAAAAAAATCCTCAGAGAATCAATCACAAGTCCTCAAAAAGACATTAACAAGTCAATCACAAGTCAATCACAAGTCAATCACAAGTCAATCACAAGTCATCATAAGTCCATCACAAGTTGATCACAAGTCATCATGTTAGGCCAAAAAAAAAAAGTCTCCGGTTTCTGGTATGGAGCTTGCCCAAGAAGTGGTGCGGCGACGCGGCTTTTTTTTTTTTTTTACCGGATTTTTTTGCTTCAAATGTCAGTTGATGACTGCAAATGGTGCCCGACTAAACTTAGTGCAAATATATGGGAGTCCAGAGAGGTCACATAAAGCTTATTCTCGACCATAACCCAATCTAAAAACACGTTAAAATTGTGCAGCAGCAGGATTCCAGTCAAAACCAGTGAGTTTGGCGGTTTTCATCTTTCATTGAAAAAAAACTTTTTCATTTTGCCGACGCGCATGGCTACGGCGACGCGCGCGCATACCAGAAACCGGAGACATTTTTTTTTTTGGCCTTATCACAAGTTAATCACAAGTCATCATAAGTAGATCATAAAGTCAGTCACAAGTCGATCACAAGTCTATCGCATGTCAATCCCAAGACGACATAAGTCGATCATAACTCACACACAAGTGGATCATAAGTCAGCACAAGTCCATCACAAGTCATCATAAGTTGATCACAAGTTAATCACAAGGCGATCACAATCACAAATCAATCACAAGTCAATCATAAGTCAGCACAAGTCTATCACAAGTCATCATAAGTCAATCCGAAATCATCATAAGTCAATCACAAGTCAATCACAAGTCAACATAAGTCGATCATTAGTCAGTGACAAGTAAATCATAAGTCAGCACAAGTCATCATAAGTCGATCACAAGTCATCATAAGTTGATCATAAGTCAGTCACAAGTCAATCATAAGTCAGCACAAGTCTATCGCAAGTCTTCATAAGCCAATCGCAAGTCAATCACATGTCAATCATAAGTCACCAGAAGTCGATCAAAAGTCATCATAAGTCGATCACAAGTCGATCACAAGTCAATCACAAGCAAATAAAAATAAACCGAGGTCAAAGATGTTCCTTTGTCATTAACGATCCTTTGTTAATTACAACTTTACTAACTGACTTGTCAGATCCGATTAGACTATGACCCTGCTAAAATTACAACGGTAACGACAAGATATCATGCAAGTTTGAGCACACATTTTCCTTTTTCAAAGCCGCCTGAAGTATGAGTGAATCCCATGGGTAGCCAAACGAACATGAACGATCTGTTTAATTCCAAGGCCACCTCGTGCGCACATACTTCCATGATTTAATGAAGGAACGCATGACTGGCTTTTGAACATTAGGAAAAAGGATGAATGATTAAAGCTGAGGTTGGATTCTAGAAATGACATTGTCGGCGGTATGACAGACACTGCAGCCGCCTCTGCAGGAAAACCTTTTACACAAGAAATATGCACTGTACATGTATGTGGATAAATGGAACTCAAGCACAAAATAATGGTCAGGCATGCAACTATGACACCACAAAAAACAAGATTTTGTACAGTATTTGGGGGTTTTTTTTCAGTTTTTATCGGGGTTCCCATGCCTTTTAGGACCATAAAATTTGATGACTTTTTCATGACAAAACTATAAAAATCCACAGCCTTCATCAAAATGCAGATCAAAACTGTAAATATTGTTCACAGGGTGAAAAATTCTAAAGCAAAATGCTTGTATCAGCAAAATTTGTAGCATTTTGTCGGGTAGGCCTATAAAAATCAGATTCCCGAAATTCCATGACTTTTTGTCATTTTAACAAATTTCCAGACTTTTCCAGACCTGGAAATTGAATATAATTCCATAAGTTTTTCCAGGTTTTTGTCCACGGAACCTTGTTTTATGGTAAATATGGGAATTGGAAAAAAAGAGGAAATCAGCTGATCCGAGGAAATGTTGCAAATGTTGCATGTTGAAAAGGTGGATTTTCAACTTCACGGATATTTTTTTTTTCTAACTGCACAAATCTACACAAATATCAACCGATGATGAATCCCTATGTCCCATGATATCTGATCCATTACCACACAATGATGAAGCTGTAAGGTACCAGACTAGACATTTAGCATGCAAACGCCACATGAGCCCGTGGTCTAGCACCTCACCTTGGATATGTGAATGATCTGGCATGTTACACTGTTGCTGCTGCTGTTGCTGCTGCTGCTGCTGTGAGTTGTGCTGGCCATGAGGTGGAACATGAGAGTATCGATGAATATTGACATGGTGGTGGGGTGGGACCGGCACGCCCGAGTTGGGCGGCACCGCGGAATGGGCCGGCACTGAGGAGGCCACATGGGGCTGCACGTGATGGTGCATGCCCGGGTTCGGGTACCCCATCAGATGGGGGTAGACGCCCCCCATTCCCCCGGCTCTACCCCCTCCCCCGTTGGGGGAGTACAGGGCCGGGTAGATTGGCTGCTGGGGGGAGAGTGCTGGAGGGCAGGGTGTGTACATGCCTTGCTGTTGCTGCTGTTGCTGCTGCTGCTGCTGCTGCTGCATGTCGTTGACCACGGCGTCTTGGACAGGCTGCTGGAGGGCCATCCCCGTTGGGACCGCCATCGGCGCCGAGACGACGGGAACGCTGGCGACGGTCGGCATGGAGACGGGGCCGTGGCCCGTCTGCACGGTGTGCAGGGGTGGGGGTACGGGAGAGTCTGAGACAAACTGGATGAGTGTGGGGCCTGTAACAGGAAAAGACAATCAAAAGTCTGGGTTGATTGAAGCAAAACAATGGTTCACCCACAATCTCTCAAAACCTTTCTTTTAACATTATCTCAACTAATAAATACGAACATTGAAAATTCTCACAATTTACAATTTTTTTTTTTGTTGGAGAGGGGAACTGCCAACATAAAGCTGAGTTGGTAGAGCACTGGAACCGTAATCAAGAGGTTGTAGGTTCAAACCTCACTCCAGTCAATTTCTTTGTTCAACTTTTAAAAAACAAATTACCCAGTACATGTACATGTACAATAATCATATTCCTTACAAGTGACAGAAACTTGATCATAAAATTTCCGACCAAAAAATCTAGTGAAATTTTTTTCAACTTCGCTGCGTGATTCATCAAAGAAACCCAGACATTTTTAGTACACTTTTGTCGGGGTCCCAAGTCGAAAATGACGCATTACATGTTTTTTCTATGACGTAAAGGAAATTTGACTGGTGCAAGGTAGGGAGGGGAGCGTGTGTGTGGGTTGGTGGGGGGGGGGGGTAGTAGGGGGGGTCCCAAACACAAGCAAGGCTTTCCCCGCCAGGCACTAAGTTTGAGTCATTTCACTTGGGGCAACGTTGTGAGTGGGTCTGGCTTTCCATTCATCATGTACAGGTACCGTACTCATGATTCCCGTGGCCAGTTCAAAGGGACTTTCAGTTTTGAAGCTCGAGTCAAGTTTCAAAACATACACAAATTTTGATAAATATTTCCCATCAGACCGAAACCTATATTTCCTGATGTTTGTTGCATTTGTGTTTTCCCCACCCACGACAGAAATGACTTCACCTGGGTAAAAATGTGTTCAACATTGAAGAGTTGCAAGGTCGCAAATTTCCAAAGATTTTTTCCTTCTGACTGCAGTATTAATTAGCGAGATTTGAGTACCCCACTTCCAAAAGAAACGATTTCATCAGCACGTGGGGGAAATGTTTATGTGACCTTCCATATAGACCTAATATTTGGAATACTCGAAGAAAAAAAGTTTGAAACCAAAAAAAATGTGGGGGGGCGCTGTGTTCCAATGGTTACGGTATTCGACTCATGTGCTGTGGTATGTGACTTCGAACCCCGATGGGGAACATGGTGCATGTGTTCTTGGGCAAGACACTTTACTTCAATTGCCTCTCTCCACCCAGGAATATAAATGGGTACCTGTGAAGGTAGGGACCAAATTGCGTGGTGATCTCGAGCTGCTGCAGAAAATAGTCGCATTCCTGATAAACAGGGATAATAATTGTAAAGCGCTTTGAAACTTTAGGTATAAAGTGCTCTATTCCCTTCTCTTACATCACCTTTTTTCCCTTTATTTTCTAGGTCGTGTTTGCAACATTTCAGTTCCCCATCCCAAAACAAAAATGTCATCATCCTATGGAAAACATTGTGTTCATTATTTAAGAGTTGCAAAGTCACATTTCAAAACCGAAAGGGGAAAAAATTGACTTCAACCTTTTGTAAATGTAGTTCCCATTGTTACCAGGATCTGAATCTAAAAAAAAAAACATGTTCAGCGGCATGGACAAAACATTATTCACGATTGCTATTATCTGGATGACTTTGTTCTCAACATTGAAAAGGATATTAAAAAAAAATCCCTTTTGACCACAACTTCCATGTCCTAATGTTCACATGACAGGATATATCTTCAATTTTTATTCTAAATCTCGGTTAGCAGTTAACAAGTTAATTGGGTTTTTTTTTCAGGAGTTGGAGGATTACATAATGTACATCAAGTTATGTATATTTCTTTTGAAGTCGAACTAAATCTGTGAACCCAATCCATAATTTTCTTTTTCCTTTTTAAACTGTCAGTCGGACTATTTCCACAAAGCCTTTATTAAGACCCCTTCAGGCTGATGCCAAGAAAAAAAGGGGGAAAAAGTTTCTTCTTCCCGCCCGCTTCCTTTTTTCCCCCTGCCTCCTTAGATTGTTTTTAAATTTAAATCACAAATACATTTGCATTTTTGCAATATATATTGTCTTTTAATAGTTTCTAGCATGTATGCAGAAACTATGTAGAAACGGTGACAGCTCCTTTGGACACAAAAGTATCAGCAAAAGAATCGAGAAAATGAAAGAATCCGTCCACCATTTTGGAAAATTCGCCATCTTGGAAAATCCGCCATCTTAGAAAACCCACCGTCTTGGGGAGAAAAAAAAGAACTGCCTCCTTCCTTCTTTTAAGAGGACAAGAAACTATTTTTTTTATTTACTTGGCCTGATGGGCGCTGTACAACTTTACACAATATTGAGGGAGACCCCACTCAGAAAATATTTGGAATGTCAATGCACCAAAGCAGGGCCAACGAAACCCCAAACAATTTGACCCCAGACAGTACAGGGGTATCGGGCAGGTCCACCTCACTCAGCAAGTATGTAATGACAAGCGCATGTTACAATGTACACATGTGTGTGTACTTTTTACAATGTATACAAATGTATATATGTACATGTACTACAATGTATATATACATGAATACATTTTACAATACATGTACATGTACATGTACCTTACAATGTACATGCATGTATACATGTATGTACATGGGCGTGTACCAGTACATGTTTTTATGTACATGTACATGTATACAAGTGCAATGTACCGTACACCCCTCACCATACATGTACATGTATGTTACATACACATGCATTTGCTACAATGTATACATACATGTACAAAACATGTACAGTATGTATTTATTACAATGTCTTGCAGCACACATTACCAAAACAATGCCAAGTATTTTAACAATGCAGCGCATGGTTTCACATCCTCCACAAACAGACAGTGGAACGCTTGGCAGCGGATTTGCTCCAGCCAGACCATAAATCAAAACTCTGTTGTTGCAAACTTGAGAAAAAAAAAAAATTTAAACCAGACTTTTTTAGTAAAAGTCGGTCGGTTCATGTTAATTAACCTTAAAAAAATGTGTTTGTTGCACAGGACAAAGGTGCAAACAGCGCAGGACTGTGATATTTTTGGCTGAAAATTTAGGACCGAAGGTAAAGGAAAAGTACACGCAAATGTATGCATGGTGCCAATATCTCATTACCCTCCTTTTGTTTGATCAGTCACAGACAGTCAAAAATGCAATCCTGTTCCCCTGCCATGCCTTTTACACAGGCTAGTCACCAACAGTCAGATCATATTTCAAAAGGCACCGTGACAGTCAAATTCCATCAACAGATTAAAGCAGGTGACTGGTAGGCACAGCTGACTTATCAATCTCCTACATCAAGCATCTAGCTTATCAGGTTTCATAACAATCACAGCCAGTCAATCCTGCTTTATGAAGGCAGGGAGCACTCAACTGTTAAACAGTCACTTGATTTATTCTCACTGCTGGGCTAGCCTTGTTGACATTACCAGCCAGAAAGTGAGGGTTAATTAAAGGAAAAGAACACACAAAGCACCAATATGTTAATTAAAATTCACAACATCCCTGTGCAAAAGCACTAAAACCCTTTGAGATTTCTAATCTATTACAGCTTTTCAATTTATTTACCTGTGAAAAGAAAACCACAAGAATGGACACCTGTGAAAAGTCAATGAGGGATGTTTCATTGACTTGTGACAATTGCTGAACAATGTATGTAACGCCTGCTTGTCTGTACTATTGTTGAGCAACACTAACAGGTGTGTTTTGTGTACATAATGTAATCACTCCATGAGGATGTACTGCTACATTGTATTTTGAGTCTCATCCAGAAAAATAAAGTTGAAAGCAATACAAGAGTTATTCACTTTTGAATGAGACATCAAACGAATGCCCACAATAGAAAAGCAAGGGTTTTTTTCCTGTCAAACACAAAAAGAAGTTGAAAATTCATGAGGAAAATAAAAATCATTGAAGAGCACAGAAAGTGCTGACTTTAAAGATTATACTCTGTGCCCCTCAAAAATATTTTTTTTTTCTTCTAGCGAATTTTGTATTAATAAATTACATGTAAAATAAATTGCGATTTTGAGCGTTTGCAACCCTCTGAAAAACAGTTTCATTTAGCGAGACAGAGCCAAATTATTGTTTGGCAGCCAATAATTCAGTTTTTTAGTGAAGAAATAATTCAATAACCAAATATCGCTAGATTTTTTTCATTCGATGTCTGATTCGAAAGTGAATAACTTTTATATTTCTAGGAAAATAGCAATTGTAAAAGCGAATATTTTTCGAGATGAAACTCAAAAAAGCACGGGGAACGCATAGATTTACAAATTATACGTTAAAGGGGCAACCGGTCAATGAGCAAACTTTTGCACAAAAATATCTTTATATTTCAGGTTAATATTTAGTACAGAAAATCGTACATAGGCCCTAGTCTTCTGATAAATTCACAAAGTATGTTTTTCTCAAGTTACAATCAATTTTAACACACCTCTAAATAGTTCCACCCCACACTGCCTCTTTAAAGTTTGCCCCCCACTGCCCCTTTAAAGTGCCCAACAGAGGCAAGGCAACAAGCTGGGAACTCTATGATCTCTTCTGTGTTCAATTCACAGGTGGCTGACCTCACCAGGGACACTCCATTATTCAACACCAGCTTCTAATTAAATGGACAACCCCACTAACCACTGCGCTCTGTGGTGAACTCCTTTGAGGGACTGGAGGGGAAGACTAGCAACAGACAGGTCGGGACTGCCTTGTACCTGGTACATGCAGGCACATCAGACAATGAGCATAATGATTGAATGTGGTCATGTGCATGTGTGCCACATGTACATGTGTGTGATTTTCCTCAGTGCATGCTAATCTGTAGACACTGTGAGATGTACACGTGATCTGCAGATAATTTGTCATCCTCTCACAACAGCACATGATATTTGCCCAACTACAAGCCAATTCTTAAAGAAAGATATTAATATTTGCAAACATCAAAACACAGAAACTACCCAATTATTATGAAGTACCTCACTTGACTGTAAGTGAACAATAGTCTCAAGCATCCTGTGAAATCATCGTACCCTGTGTGCTGTTATTATAAAAAAAAAATGAAATTTTTGTATCAATTCCCAACGATGCTCGGTCGACCATCGTTGGATAAAAACTGACTTTTTTTCCCAAATACTGCCCCCAAATTACCAGATTAAGTTAGTCTATATTGTGTTTGCAATCAGTTTCCAGTGAACGGGGATGCAAGCCAGCTACATGTAGTCTGGTTCCCTGACCTGACAACTCTCTGACGTCTATAAATTGCTCCGTTTCGTCTGAAGCAGGGTCAGGCAATCAAGACTACAAGAATGTCAGCATTTTTTCTTGGTTTTTCCAGCATCATGGAGCTATAAAACATATAGTCCATGATTACATGTAGTATGAACACAAAACTTTGAACAGATCAGTGTAACAATATAAATTTGCTGTAAAATACTAACCCCCAAATCCATCCATTTCTGAAAATTACAGCAAAATTTGTTGTTTACTGACATCTTGAAAGTTGTACATGTATATTACTGACACCTTTCAGCAGCTTACAATAGTTCATGTACATGTACCGGTACCGTACACTTCAAGGCATAAAACTGCCCCAAAATGGATCAATTGTGCAATATTTTACAGTACATGTAAATTACATTGTAAATAAAATAAATTGTAATGCTAAAAGGACTTTTCATCGTATCAACAATCTCAAAGCGCTTTACAATTATTCCCCGTTCATCGGTCCACGAAACCACGCGGCAGCCGATATCAGCGCACATTCGGTCCTCTACCCTCATTACATTGTGAATACATCAATTTATACACAATGTGGAGTCAACAAGCCCCACGATTGAAACTCCCTCAAGTCTTACTGCAATCAGCAGGAACAAGGTTCAACTCGATTGCCGTGTCCAATCGCTGGCACTCCTTAGGGGGGTAGACTAGAGAGAGGCTGTGGAGACATTCTGGGGTCAAAAGTTCACCGGTTTCATAAACCCGGCTTTGGAAATGTTTTGTTCTCAGCAACCAAACCGGACAGCGGAAAAACATTGTTTTCTTCAGTGATCAATTTCCAAAATTGATTTGTTGAGTTAAAACATGACTATACATGGACCTTTGCATATAATGGGTATATATTTTTGTATACAAGTTTGTAGTAAACGTACACGTACGTGTACATGTATACATACAGTTGTGTACTGTACATGTATACATGTACCGTATACATTATGCAAGCACATGTACGGTACATGTTCAAACAGCATTATCTACAAGTACATGTAAATGGAAGGAAATTTTTAAGATTTTGAATTTTAAAATCAACAAATTTACATTTACTTGGCGTACTGCTCAGAAGTGTACTAATACTATACATTTTGTACATTTTGTACATGTACCAGTACTACAATTTTTCTGCCTCACACATTTTTCTGGCACCATAAAATCTCAACATGTTGACTGTTTTAGCCCCATACAATCTCAACCTGTGGACTACACATACCGGGTACGTAACTAAATGTACTAAAACAAATATGTAGACCAATTCACTTTCTCATGGATAAAATTGCAAAAAAAATGAGGGGTGGGGGGCGTTTTCAATGCTCCAGAAAATCTGGGCTTGGTACAGGAGGTCACCGGAATCTGCGCCTGGAGGTGAAAGGGTTAAATTGTCAAGAGGAATTTGGCCGAGCGATCCCGGAGTGTTACCATGGAGGCAAGAAGGAGGCCAATTTATTTCTGGTCATTGTGAGTATGGAGCGAGACACTGTCAGAGTATTACAGACTGGTTTGAACACATAATTTGCAGGGCAAGTAACAAGGGTAGTGACTTTGGTGCTGGGACAATGAAATGTCTGTGATATCTTCCAGCACAAAAATAGTCACTCGGTCCGTTTTTAGAAAACTGGGCTTTAGTTTTGGGACTCGTTGGAAAGGACACTGAATAAGCTTTCCAATGATAGATTAGAATCAGACAAAATATGACGACGCAGGTGTATTCAGTTCCTAAGTTTCAAACCTCAGAAAGTTTAAAATTAAAAATTGACAAATGTGTCCAAATGAACTTTAGCAATGAGCAATGCACCTACCGGTATTTCTATAGAAGTAATCAACATGAAATTTGGATACGGTACATTCATCATAATTTGACCTAATTTATTTACCGTGCATGTACACCAATTTTCATCAATATTTTATGTTTTCCATTTGAACAGGAGGCATCTTTATTGTCCATAAATATTCTCCAGTTCGGCCTCATTAAGCTCGGGGAAATTAACATTTACGCATAACGCATACTGGGCAACCATCTCTTCGCGTGTAGCTTGGGCGATGTTCACGCGTGCGTACTATACACCCATGCGACAGTTCCACGATTGCTTTGTAAAGCGCATGCGTAATAGACTGTCGTAACCCGTGCGACGGTATACTACGCATGCGTATATTTACCCTGTGTGTGAATCCTCTCACGCGCTTGGTAAACAGCAAAAATAACATTTGGCAATTGATAGTGAATTGACCAGTGACAGCTCGGCTCTGGATCATGAATATGTATGAGGTACTGCAACGTATGTCTCCTGCATACTAGCAGTGACTAGGAACGCAATAGGGATTTAGACACCATGTATCCACAGGCATTTCTTTTGACTGACCCTGTCTGACAAGTTTGTGACTAGCTGGGTGTCCTTTGAGTTGACCAGCCAACAACACTTGAGTCAGTTTCCTTTTTGTCAAGTTCGTTGAACCGGGCAAAACAAAAACAAGCAAAGCACTAGATGCCAGTACTTTCTAAACCTTCAGGGGGTTGGGAGGTTTCTGTGAAACCAGACGACCAACGAATTCATTATCCAGAATTCGGACCCGGGTGCATCGATATTGAACGAACAATTGAGGGCGCTTTGTGACAAGTTTGGATGACAAGTACATTGATGGTCTGGTCACAAGTCCATCTAGGGGTGTGCATTTAGGGGGCAGTGCGGAAACTTGTGACAACTCATGACAACTTGTGACAACTTGTGAAAACTTGTGAAACCTGGTGACAACTGGTGACAAATTGTGAAATCTTGTGACAACTTGTGACAACTTGTGAACTATCACAAGAAACTAGACTACAACAGGACTTCACTGATTACCTATTTTCTTTAGTTGCGTCTGGGTGTGTATTTTTTGCTGTCCCTGTTAACTACCCTGTTCTTTGTAAAGAGGAGCAAAACGCTCTTAAAAAGGTTAATGTAAATGGAGTATAAACTTCTCTGAACTTACCGTGAATATACTGCACTTGGTCCCCGTTGCCTATGGGAAACGCCTCTCCTTGTTTAATCTGCAGGTAGAAGACGTATTTCTTATTGACCTGCCCGGCATTCTGGCCGGTATCGTGCACCTGTCCCTGGGGCGGGACCTCGTCCCCTACCCCGACCCCCATCCCGGGGTAGTCCTGGACGGGGGCCGGCACGCCCACAGCGTTCGTTGTGTAGTCCTGCCCGCTGGGGTACATGGGCTCGGCCGGGGCGTACTCGGGCGAGTAATCGGCCACAGTTTGCTGCTGGGCGTCGTACTCCGACCCCTGGGCCGTATAGTCCAGCCCGTTCCCGTCCGCGTGGCCGTCCACGTATTCTGTGTAGCCCGCCGGCGCGGTTTGCGGGATCTGCAAGGGCCCGTTCAGGTAGGGCACGGGTACCGTCACAGGATTGTTGTTACCAGTGCCACTGCCTTGGTTCTCGACCGATGAGGAACCGTCCGAAGGGTAGCCGTCCGGCCCGTTCTCGGCGGCGGGGCCCGGCGGGGTCTTGACGGCGTTGCCGAGGGCCGACTCCAGCTCGCTGCTGGTGGAGCTGGTCTCGCTGCTGAGCTGGGTCTGGGGGAGGTCATGCATGGACAAGTGGTTGGTCATGGTGGGGTAAGTGCCTATCACAGGCTCCGAAGCAGACATAACGAGAACCGGCAACACGCAGAAATCGGAACCCAAAACAGCCGACCTCGATTATCCCGTCGATTTGTTGAAACCGTTCAGATTACTTCGCAGTGTATTCCAATCGGTACGTATCCTAACTGTAAGGCATCAATTCCAGTCACCTAATACTGGAAACAGAAAAAGAAGACAGAAAATAAGAAAAATATTTTAAACCAAAGCTGAACAGGAAACCATATTCTGTGTCCATTCTACGATCAAATTTAAAGTGGACTAGCCAACTTCTGAAAATGTTAGTTGAAGTTACATACGTTACTAAAATAAATTGGTCGTGAAATTAAGAGGAGCATAATTTGCACTAGTTAGTATTCAGTTTTGAAGCTTGGATATTGCTCAGTCTAGATGCACAAGTATTTCCACAATCGCCAGACAGATTTCAAATCTGTTGAAAAACAGATACAGTGTAACGTCGCTATACCAAACACCGCTATACCGAACATTCAGCTATACTGAACATCATCCTTGGCTCCCAATTTTTGTGTAAAAAGCGTACCGAACATTGTTGTTGAAAAATGTCAACAGCCGAGCGAAAAGTGGTTATTACTTCCCCAAGAAATAGAAGGGAAAAACTACTAAGCTCAAAAACTGTGTAATTACATGATTCAATAGTCGCACGTACCGGTATTGAAAGTGGTCTTTCAGTAACTACCAGTGCGTACAGGGTGAATTTCTGCTTACGAAATTGGAAAGATGAATGGACAGGTTTTGTGAATCAGCGCGCGGTTTGTAAATACTACAACTATAGTCAACAGAGTGTGAAAAACCACAACCTGTTAAGTATCAGATTAAAATCGCTATTCCGAACGATTGCTATTACGAACAATATCTGTGGATCCTGCGATAGCAACGTTCCACTGTATTGCAGCAAGATCAATCCCTCCCCCGAAAGAAAATAATTTTCAACAGATATAAGTTTCAATTATGTTTCAAATCCAAGTCTGAATATAAAGTCCACAATTTCCCATACTTACAGAAAAAAATTAAGGAAGACAGATCTAAAGCAACATGTACAAAGAAAGAAATAACAGACTTAAGGCAAACAGAGAACAAGAATGAGCATCAGTGGTGAGGAAATCTACACTAAATATGAACAAAAAAAAGCAAATGTACGGGGCTGTATCTCATTTTTTTCATCAAAAAGTGTGTACATTTTTAGTTCTTGTGTCATTTCCGATGGTGTCACTAGGGGAATCCCCACGCCTACATTTTTTTTTTCAAGAAAAATGTCCTGGTATCTACATGTACATGAACACATGGGAATGTGATGGTTATTTTGAGGAAGTCAACGTGGCATTTCGGGTTTCAGGTGCATGGTACATTGAACATGCATGTCATTCAAAATTGCGACACCGGTTTCAATGCATCTTTCCTTATGCTTTCTGTATCCTTGTGTTACCGTATACCAGGTATATGATGTTGTTTTGCCATGTCACTGGGCAAAGTGATTCAAATGATGCACATACGCAATCAGAGTCTCTTAAACGTCACAACATTGGGAAATCACAACATTTGAGCAGGAACAAAATAGAAACAATCATAATGAATGTTACCGGTACATAGACAGGCTTGTTTCGTTGTGAACCTGACGTGAGCGTACATGTCCCGACTGTACATGTACTTTCATATTTCTACACAGAAATTTATATGAACAGAAGTCTTGATTGTCATCTTTATGGTAATATAACGCTCAGACTTTTAACTCCCAAAAGAGGACCATTTACCCGGTAGGTGGTAATCGTCTATGAAATATGTTTTGAAATTTAAAAAAAAATACAAAAAATTATTTACAGCTCAGCAAATTCTATTAATTAAAATAAACAACTAATTTTACTAATTTTTGTGCAATTCTTTAGTTTCTGTACCTAAATCCAGTTACACCATATTTATTTTGTGAAAGAGTTCCTCATTTTAAAAAGTAATAAAACTACTTTAAATTGAGAACGATTCTGACTTAAAAAATTTATACATTTCACATGATTCCTGGAAAAAAATAACTCTATGAGAATGATCCTGTTCCCTAGGGAAACCTTGAGTTTCCTGTCTGAGGGTGGCCGCAAATTTTTTTTTTTTTTTTAGGGTTGGGGGTGGTAAATTAATGATTTTTTTTTTCCAGGATATTTCCCTATACAAATAGCTTGTTCATTACACATAAAAATACATTTATGACAAGTTAACAGCCGGATGTCTGTGACCACATTAACCGCATTAAGACCACGCAAGAACTGCCAAGTAAGTAACATAGCATGCAGCTGGGCCCATGTACATGTACATGTAATACACAAGTCCAAGGAAAGAATGTACATGTAGTATCCAGACACCACTTCAGTGGTTGCCTACAAAGTCAATGGAGAGTCAAGAACATTTTCAAAAGTATTTCCTAACAAATTGGAAATGTTTCTCAGTCCCAGATTCATGTCTTTTCGACATTTTTGCAGTGACCGACCTTCACTGAGATGATATATGATGAAAAAAAAGTGGCGTCAAGATGCAACATTCTTTCAAAGTCCAGCAACAAGTCTAGAGGTTTAACAGTGACAATTTCCCCCTCATGTTTGCTCAGATCTCTTGTTTTGATGGTCTGAATTTTGAAGTTCTATTACTTTGCGGTATGGAAAAAAAATTTCCCCTAAAAATCACAACCTGACTGTAAGTACAACACATTTTACGCAGCTGCAAATATTTGGTGTTTTTTTTTTTTACAAGGGTCAAAATCTGAAAAGAGTATACCCACTGGGAACTGGAAGGGCAATGCTGGAACTTGGCCAAACAAATCCAACTGACTCACGGAAGCTTTCCATGAAAATAAACCTCGCCAGAAAAAAACAAAATCCCCAAATCAAAACCAATTTTCACTTACCGGAACACGCACACAGGCACAAGCAACACATTCTCGGTCTTCGTTCGAGGAATTCTAATGATCCAAAGTACGACAGAACTCTTAATGTGAATCGGGAACGTGACTTTGATACCAACAATTCCTGTCCCGTCGTAAAAACAAAACCAGTCCTAATGTAATTCCGACTACAAGATAGACTCCCGCGGTTCAGGCATCAACATCCAATGTTGTCAAAACAACTAAATGGCCATGAAGTTGTCCACCAGCGAAATCAGCCCTCGCGATCACCGCTAGCAGCCCGAGTGAGTACCGACCCAACTTGTTAGCCTGGGAATGGCATCTTGGCCTTGCCTAGGGGTCGTGACCTTTGCCCCGACCTGTCCTCCTGGGCTTTTTCATCCGGTAATGGGAACCACAGCTGAGCGCCAGTAGGGTTTAGGGGAAAAGAATGCCAGGCAACAAGTTGCTGACGCAGGGAAGGTGTTGGAACAGGGAAAGAGTGCTTTCTGTACTTGAAATTTGAAGAGAATAGGCTTGGTGGTGTACATGTTAAAGAAATTCCTTCTTCAATGTATTACACGCTGCAAATATTCAGTGACCAATTAAAGGATAAGGCCTAGTAACAAAAAAAAAGGAGTTTCTCAAAAACAAAGGAGGCAGGCACTTTTCCCCTTTTTCCAAGATGGCTGAGTTTCCAAGATAGGGGATGGATTTCTCAATTTTCTTGACTACTTCGCTGATTCAAAATTTTGTGTACAAAAGAGCCATTACCCTTGCCATATCTACAATTTTGTTGAAAATTATCAAAAGACAATATTGACAAATTATGTGCAAAATTAAATTAATAAAAAAAAAGGGCGGTAGGCCGGGAAAAAAGGAAGCGGGCGGGGACGAGTAAGTGGATTCTATTATTTACTTGGCCTTACATGGGATGAATGAAATATAGTGTAAGTTCTATTTTTTGGACTAGTGTTTCATATTTGGGCCGGTTGGACATTTGAACCATCTTATAAAATTAAAAAGGAGAAACTATGTCAAAAGATCTAAGGGTACAGTCATTCAAAATCTAAAGTATTCTTGGAAAAATTAATAATCAAAATCTTGAATTTCTGAGAGCAAAGGAAACAGTTCAAGTTTGGTTTCTCAGACTTTCAAAGCTATAATTCTCCAACCCCGTCCCCAATGGTTACTTTATTCTAAACTTCGCTTCCAATAGTAACATCTGGATGGGAAACTGGATGGGTAACTCTCCACACTCCAAACAGTTCCAGAAATTCAAAGAAAGTTGAGTCCACACTTTTATAAAATTCCAGGATTTCAGTAGGGTGTAAGGCCCTTTGGGGTATGAACTAACGTCAAGGACTTGAATTTAAGAGAGCACAAGACTAGACATTTTGTTTATAAATCAAGAAACTTTCATAATAATTCTCTGCACTACAGTAAGAAAATCCAGTGCCAAATGTTGAGTCCACTAGTAGTAAATTTAAGGTTAAGGTTTCATCTTTGTTAACAGAATTATTTGCCACACAATGTGGCTGTACGAAACTGATGATCTTCAGGAGACAAACTCGCAATCCACTGCTAACCTGGCCCCGCAACATGAGTGGCCTTCAGCTCTGAGAACCTTTTAAACTTTCCAACTGGAAATCATTTAATTACCAACAAAACCTCTTCCTACTCCCCCACCCCCTACCCCCCCCCCTTTCCCTCCAGACATTAGGAAGTGGTCTACTGAATGCCATTAAGGGCTTGACTGTTTAAGAGTTTTACAACAGCAGAGTGTGCAAGGAACTGTGAGATTTTTCACAAGCACGTTCACGACCAACTTGACTTTCTGTAACATAATTGGTCTTTCAGCTCCACGTGATACAAATCCCATCTCTGATTTTCTGTTTCCGTTGGCAAAGATTCGTAAAAATCGAAATCAAAGCTTGAAGACTCAAACTCCACCACTGGAATGCTGACTTGCTGTAACATATCTCCCAGTGGTAAATAAGATCAGTCATCAAATTTTGTCGGTTTTCCCGGAAGAAATTCGAGAATCTCTCATTCCTCTCAAAATTAGTTCCGGTTCCTGTTCACATATACTGCACACATACATATATTCCATGTACCAGTGCAGACACATGTGTTCACATGGAGTAATGTACATGTACACTGTATATTTGGTTTCGTTGTCTTATAATTATAAAGTGAATGTGTCGATATCCGTCGAAATTTTCACTTAAAAAAAATAAAGATTCTAATGCTACAATTTATGTACATGTACATGTA